ATTATTATTATTATTATTATTATTATTATTATTATTATTATTATTATTATTATTATTATTATTCGTAGGATTTTTTCGACATCGAAGAAACCCCTATTCATCTGGCTTTAGTCGAAATTTTGGGATTCTGAAAAACAGTATTTAATATTTGGGGTACTTTACACGAACCCTTTGGGACATTTTCAAAAATTTATCAAAATTTAAATTTCTTATAAGAATAAATGAACCAACTCTAGCTCATCATAGACAAATGCTAACCCTTAAATATGCCATCAAAACAGAATCCTATAATCTTCCACGATATATACCCAAAACTTCAAAATTACCATTAAGTACAATAATGCTTTTCACCAGTCTATACCAATGTTAAAAACCTACTGAGACAGCAAAACCTTCAGGAACATTTATCAGTGGAGAAAATGACCAGAAACTCCCCAAATAAACAAAATGGCTACAAAAGATAGGAAAATAAGATTTGATGAAATAGAAAATAAATACAAAGATTCCTATTAAATCTATTCTAAAGTTATTAATAATAGAGCTGGAAAATATGCGACTACAATTACCAAAGATGTTAAAATTACAAACAGACTGCATCCCTACTCCAGTACTACTACAAATGAAATATGTTCTATAATGACTGCCTTCAAAATGTCACAAAAAAATCAGAAATAACAATTTTGTCATATTCTCTACTTGAAGCAAAAAACAATATTCGCAATAATTACCCAGGTCTACCAATGATAAATAGTATTCATGAAATGTATTATGACATTATACAATCTAAAAAAAGACTCATATTTGCCTACATACCAAATTATAAAACATTGCCTGAACACAACGCAATGAACCTAGAAGAGGAAAATGTAAGCCCAGAAGCAGAAAGTATTTTAATAATATCACATACCTGCAAGGATATATGGACATACATCAAAAAAATAATGGATGAAAAATGGAGTAACCTCTGGAAAACTATGAAATCTAGCCCTCTACACAAACAAGTTAAATATTTTTACTCTCTGAAAACTTACAAAAAATTTTCAAGAAAAGAACAGGTAACAATAACAAGAATAAGAACTGGTCATTGCAAGTTCAGTCATCAACACTTGTTAACTCCAAATCCCCCACTCACCTTCCAACACTGTGATACCCTTCTTAACTTTCAACATACTTTAACTCAATGTTCTATGATTCAGTACAGCCAACACACATACCTAGAAGGAGAGCAAAACCCTGACTTGATGCTATTATCCAATGAATACCAAAATCAAATATTAAAATTCTGGAAGACTGCAATGTTCTCAAAGAAATCTAATTGTAAACAATATACTTGTATGGATACTGGAGACTAATATTGTAAAAAAAAAAAAAAAAAATACAAATAATGTCTGTCTCCACAAATTTGTATATACTGTACTATATTGTAAAGTTAACATATTAATTTTGTTAAATTGTATTTAAAGTAGTCACTAATGACCACAGTTGTTGATGTGAATATAATAAACTAAAAAAAATAACTAAGGCATAAAAACAAATTGTTCCTTCTGCATTGTTATGCCAAAGACAATGTGGTTTAATTAATTTCGGTTTTGTAAGACCAGAGGAAAATCATAGAAAAAGCAATAATGCACTCCTCAGATATGCTAAGCCAGCCCCATGACACTCTCACCCACTCGTGCCAACTCTCTTCTCGACAAAATTCTTGTTCTAGGATTGAAAAGCTGCAAATCTCTGGGTTTTAAAAGCAAATTCCACTCTCCTCCGTAGTTCCATTTGGCCCTTCCTTGCCCTACATTATCAAAGTGTCAGTATAATAATTAATTAATATTTATAATAATGGTAATTGCTTCAAATAATTTCTATTGAAGTTTCTCCAAAAATCGAAAGTTTTGGGTGAAAATGTGCTTCAAAATTAGCATTTTCAAAAACGCTCAAACATTTTCTTAAAAAATGCTCCAAAATTTCCAATGAAAATGGGCATAGAGGACAATATTTTACCCTTCAATAATATTCTTAAAGTCACATTTCATTTCTCCTCTTAGGGACCTGAAAAATTGAGAAAACGTGAAAAAGTGTTTTAGGCGTTAATAGATGGCATCTGAGAAGAGTTTGAGGCAAAACCGGAAAGATAGCCTAAACTGAAGAGATAAAAAAACTAACTAGAACGAGAATATATGTGCCATTCTGTAGAACCACAAGTACACTTTCTTGCATACTACATATGTAATGCTCCAGCGAAAAAAAGAATCATTATCAACAGAAAAACCCTTATTGTTTGGCCCTATAAGAACAAGCTTATCTACTTTTTCGAAAATTACTTCCTCTCATTCGCTGGGCAGTCAGAATCCACGTTTTGTGATATTTTGATTCCGAAATATTGGTTTGCTCAACATGTCCGTCCATCCGTCCGTTTATCTGTTCGTCCATCTTTTCGTTCGGCCGTCCGTCTCTGAACAATGCTAGCCGCTAAGCAGTAACCAAGATTTTCACCATAATTGTTATTGGCCGATCGATCTGGCTGATATCGCGTCCCCTCGAGTTTCAACACGATGTTTTAATTTTTGAGGGGACTTAACATAACGTCAAGAAATTTTCTCAAAAATTGGTCAGAATTTTTTTATTGATCTGTTCTTGGTCAGCGTAAAGAACGCTTGAAAAATTGCACAGGTCTCAGGTTTGTCAGAAATATCTGAATTTTCGAAAATTGCCAACGTTCAACATTTTTTCGGTGTGTTCCCACAACTATGTATTGAAGATAAAAATGTTTCCTCTGAATAATACCGTTTTTCAAAATTAGATATTTAAGTGAGGACATATTTTTAAAAAATGATTAGTATGCATGAAAAAGTATTTCAATTTTTTAATGAAGATTTTTGAAAACTCACAAGTGTTCTATGAAAATGAAGTCAAAATTGCACATTTTCAAAAACGCTCAAACGACATTATCTCAAGAACGGCTCTTATGTTTCAATGAAAATTTGAGTATAGGACAATATTTGACTATTCTGTAATATTCTTAAAGACATTTCAATTCTTCTATTAGAAGGCTTAAAAATTGAGAAAATATGAAAAAAGCATAGACTGAAGAGATTAGAAGTGATATTAATTAGGTGCTAAATTGTGCCATTCTGAAGCACCGCCGGTTATTTTCTCGCGTACTACATAAGGATTATTGAGAAAGTCATGTGTTGCTGCCGTAATAGTGGCGTTACAACTGCACATATTTGCCCAAATTATTTGTAACGGTTATGTAATGCAACTCTCTTACCTGAAACTGCAAAAGTGTTTCCAACCTACCATTTTTTAAGTATAAAATTGAATACTGTCTTGTATTGTATTTTCTCGAAAGAATTGGTCCGTTTAAATTTTTGGACAGTAGAAGTTTTGAATTTATTTATTACATTTCGAGAATTACTGCACCCTATCTTTACGCCTATTGCAACATAATCAATTCGTTTTACCTACTAAACATACAATAGTTATTATGCACCAAGGGCGTTAATTGGTTCTAATAATCTCGAACCCGAAATCACTAAAACCAGTTAATAAAAAACAATTTATATTTTACTGATACATTGTTACTTGCTATAGCCTTTGATAATGAGCTCATTCTACATCGGATAGTTTACGTGGATCGAAAGGATCGTGGTTATTGTTCGAGGGAAATATGAAAACAGTTGAATAACGCTACATGTTCTCTTGTGGAGGGAATTATGCAAGACAATTATGGAAGGGAAATATAATTAGATGACCCGATTCAAATTAATATATCGTTAATGAGTAAATCTGCATTATTAAAATTATGTAATAAAAATAAAATCTTGTATGCACCATGGACGTTAATTGGTTCTCATGACCTCGGGCGACAAAAAGCTCTCAGACTTTTTATCGCTGCTCCATTAGAACTCTTATAACTCCATTGGAGCATAAATAACTAAAAAGTAGATTTTTCAAGGATTAATGAATATTGAAATGAATACTCACTGGGTTTTTTTCTATCAGACATTGTAAGAACTAACAAAAGATCATGCTGGCTGCTGGTATTCGGTGCCTCGTCCGAGCTCCCATGAGATGAATTTTACCTTTTGTTAAATTTACCTAAAAGGTTTTAAAATTTCTTTAATTTTTTATATTCAAGATATATTCGTTTGCTCCCTTCCAATCTAATAAATTAGAGGTCACCTGTGCGTTACGAACAGCATGTCTTGTCAGTCCACAGACACCTGCGTGAATGAACGAATGAACCACTATATTCGGGGACGGGAGCAGGGTTGAAACAGTTGCCGAGCTGTGGCCACAGGAAGGGGAGGTCAAGGAGGAAGGAGGGGTTAGGAGGGGAAGGCAGGGGATTTCACCTCAAATGGCGGAATTTTTCAATGGAACATGTCTTTGATTTTCTCGCAATTCTTTAATAATTTTGTCAAAGTTATTGGTGAACGAGTTTAATTCTACCACTGAAATCATTGTATGTCGAATTTTTAATCTGCGAGTCCCAGTATCAGTCTATCCTTGTACCTTAACTCTACTGCTAGAATCTGTGGATCGATGAATTACGTTTAATGGCTTAGATCTAACCTGTTAGCAAATGGAGTGAAGTCTATTGGGATATTCGAGGATGTTTCTCCTGGGCTCATTAATTCCATCTCGGTTTTCTCTTGGTCTGGCACACATGTTGAAAATTACACTTCTTACAATGGAGGGTGTACACCAATTTTAGTAGAACCTCGTTAATCCGGATCAGCTGGAATTGGAGTCGATCCGAGTAAACGAAAATTCAGGTTACCAAGGAATAAGAGAAAAACGATAAAAGAGAACATAGACTTACCAAACATATTTAATGGAGGTTAAAAAGTATTATCGGCACACTTCCACCACCAAAAAGCACACTGTAATATGCATTTACACATTACACAACTGCCCTTATGCTGTCTGCCTATGAGTTCAAACTAGTCGGCGGTGGCTCTAAGAACGCCCAGGGCATCGGAAGGTCCCTCCCCCCCCCTGCGGACGGAGGGAGGGGGAGGTGAGGGTTGGCAGGTAGGATAAGGCCAATGAACGTCACCGTTGGCAAGCGAATACCCATTTATCGTCTGTAAAACAAAACGTCGATTACTACTCCTAACAACATATTTGGTTTCCAAAACCGGTCTGAGGTTCTAGTCTGTCGGTGGCATTTGATCTTTGGCCTGTTTCAGAAGTGCATTTTTTTATTGCAATATTTCTAAAGCTCAACATCTTTTTTCAGTCCTTAATGACTTTTTATATTTTTCTATTTTTTTGTATTAGGTAATAGTAAAATTTCCTTTCCTCTTATTTCCACACACTTTCTACTGGATGCTTGATGTTATCTCCATATTGGGCTTTGCGTAATTTCTTAAACCTGTTTTTCACAAATCTCTGTACAAATTGTAAGGGTTGTTGTTTAATTGTTAATTACAGGAAACTAAATTGTCATTGTAGAACTGGAGCTAAGCTAATTTTATAACTGTCAACCGAATTGGACAATCAGCCCCTTTGATATATTTCAGGTGGCAGGATTTGTAATTTAAAATAAATTTTATATGAAGAAAAAGCTTTATCTATAATATTGTAATAGTATGAAGATGCCAAAAAATTTCAAACTTTTGAAATTTTCGAAAAATTAGAGTTAATAGTGACAATCGAACCTATGATATCGTTATACCTGTATTTCACTCTGTTTTTACAAGAAATTTAAAGAAAAATTTAGAGCCCTTTTGAGAGAATTTTGAAAATGTCCCAAAGGATTCATGTCAAGTAACTCCAAAATTTTAAGAATTTTTTCCAAAATCGCAGAGCTTGGACACAGAATGGCATAGCCTTTCTCATACTATTTTATGAATCTAGTTATTGAGAAGAAGGTGATTAAACGCCTACGTCTCTGCAAAATAAAATGACACAGGCATAGGTTGATTAGGATATAAAATACTTGAATGCTTAGTAAGAATATATTAATTTTTTATTCCTCAACTAATAATTTATGCACACACACACAACTAGGCACGATGAGAAACACACTACATAATTTGTTGTGATGATAATAGGAATAGATACACTGGCATCAGCACCATAATGTAGGACTGAAATTCAACATAGTTGTTCCAAGAAACGGACACTCTCACTCATGCTTGAGAAACCAAAGACAGTACTGACGGACCACATGAAAAGTAAGGAGAGTGCTACAAAAATGACATTCTCACTGGTAACACATGTTGGTCCCTTAAAAACTGGTGACACACTACAAATCCCAAGTTGGGCACTTATAAGTGTCTCAAAAAATAAAGACTTGTATTGTTCTAGCATACGACAGTGTCTATAAAGAAATAGTGCGTGAAGAAACTCACTCATTAAAATATTGTGTTACAAAAATCACAACATGAAATTTACAACTCAATGGCAAGTGCACATCATCAATTACCAAAACTGAACTGATGATGAAATTATATTGAGAAGATTCACATCACATGTAAATTCTAATAAAAACGTACCTGGTATATAAAAAAAATCCATTCAATGCTTTCAGTCACATAACTTCAAATTTTTGCACCAAGATACTACAATCTCCAATTTGTTGATTGTTATAATTAATAAAAATTAATTTAACTAAAAAATTAGATCTAATACTTCGGAAATACATCACATTAATTGTCATCAGAAGAAAGAAAATATCAGTCCATTAATAAAAAATCATATATATACATCTTGTTAGATTTGATCAAAAAATAAAAAACATACTTTATTAGGTACTCATACAATTTTAACAAGATTCTCAGGTAACAACTAAAAGAAACCAACTGCCTTCACTTATAAGCATCAGTAACAACAGAACTGATGATTCAGATAATTGTACAACCAAACTGATGTGTGCTTCTTCATATTGAATAGGATATTTCAAATTTATTAATTTAAATTTAGAGCTCTTTCCTACGGAATGCACTTTAATAATTTTTAGATTGAAAAATTCTATTTCACTCATGATAAAACACTTTTATCAAGGTTAAGAGGAAATCACAGTTTTCTATCTGCACTGTGTTCTATTTTTGATTTTAAGTCAAACATTAGCATAGAATATGTGTCAAAAACTACAGAACAAGGTTGAACGGGAAAGAGACTATACATTTTAAATCTTTAACAAGTGGACATTGTATTTGCTACTATACTTGGATCAAAATTTTAAATAGACTTTTTTCAAAAAAATATTCTTAAAAGTATTCTTCTAGTATTTAAATCATTGTCAAGGATGAATCAACCAACATTATATAATATATTACGTAATCTGTCAAAACTCTAGCAGCATGTTGTACATATATGTAATTATAAAAACAAAGTGATGCATTGTAATGCTACAAAATTCATGCTATAATTCTTTAAAAATAAATTATCCACAACAACTTTTTCTCCACCAATGCACATCATTCCTTCAAAAGTGCATGTGTGGAGTACTAAGGCAACATTGGACTAGTTCTCTCCTCTGTGAGGTGATCGCGAAGGTGAAGTGGCTAGCGTCACCAGTGGCGCTGTCGCCAGCCCCAGGCGCTGCTGCAGGGAATCGCAGCGCTCCACAAACTGCGCCAAGCGGCTAGGTGTCACACTCCTCGGCAGACTTCCAGTCAGACCATCCATACTCCTTTTCAAAGATGAACGAAACAGGCATGAGAAGTATTGCAAGAAAGAAGAAAATACACTATATTCTCACTTATTCAGACATGCGCTGACCAAAAAGATGAGAGATATTATTTTTCACAGAGCCAAAGCAGGTGCTACTTAGACATGATCCTGACCCCACCCCTCTACCTTACTATAAATTAATTAATAAATACATATATAAAAATATACAAAAATAAGGATAATGCACGTTCATAAGAAGCTGACAGATTATAGTGTATCTTTAACATATAACATTACAAGTAGTCCCAAAATTAGTTTTTAAATTGACATGAAACTTCACATTAAGAGGAAATATAGTGATACATTACAAGTATTATGAAGTATAATACGTCTACTTAATATTGATTTTCACGCTGGAGGGCAATGATGAGAACCTTAATTCTACGTGTTTATCAGCAATGTGCAGCAGATATCACAAGCACTGAAGTAGTGAAGGTTGACAATCCTTTTGGTTGCTTCCAAATGACTGATTAGAAAAATGTTTTACAATACATCTCAGTCCTGAAAGTTTATAACGTTTAATAATGTCTGTTACCTTCTCCACAATTGTGGTAATGGTCACATACTGTATTTACCCAAATATAAGATGAGGTCTTTTCCTAAATATCTCGTTTAAAAAAATATGAAGTTGTCTTATATTTGCTGATTAAGCCTAGTTGGTTGGGATCTATGATTTTACACTGCTTTTCCTTGCCAAGAAACTTGATTGCTGATGTAACAATAAGCTGCAAAGGCAATAAATATCATGTGTACCTATATTATAAACTCAATAAAAGAGAAAGGGTTGGTAGAAAGAGAATTTCAAATGAATGCCTTGTACATGAAAATGAAAACTCATTGCTGAGAGTCAAAAATTGAAATGAATAACATTCGGTATAAAATGTTGACCTTACATATTACAAGAAAGCTTATGTAATAGTATACTATAATGCTGAGAACATGACATCACTGCTTTTCTAATTGCTAATTGCTTACATGAAGCAAAAATTAGAGTCCGCGTCTGACAAATGATTATATTCAAAGCAATGGAGTCTATATATGACATTTCCTATTACGTACAGTCTGAGGAAAGCTCTTAGGATCCAGCCCTCCTGTTACTTACCTCCATAGTGGCAGGCGGGTAGCTTCGGACCTGTGCAGGGACCGTCCATTGTAGGAGGAGTGGTCGTGGCTGGGTGGGGAGTGGGGAACGGTGCCCAGGGACACGGAGGCTGATGCTGGCACACTCCAGCTGCTCACCGAAGGCGCAGAGCTGCCTCCCCTCCTCAGGCCTATAACACACACACACACCTTTAAACCATCTCTGCACCTGCACGGGATTCTCTGGATGCTTTGTGCACGGTAGAGTGAAGCTTGTTGTGAAAATTGTGTGTGCAATATGTGGAAGATGTATTTAGTGTATTGTACGTGAGTCAGTGAGAGTGAGAAAACTTAAGACCCCAGAAGTTTCATTGCGAGTTAGATTGTTGCAAGTATGATCAGACATTGTTATCTACTTTGAGGGGTATTTGTAATAACTTTGTGGTATGTTCTCATATAAAGCAGACATTTACAACTTTCCAAATTAAAACTACACTCGTAGTTTCATTCTGGACTAGGAATTTTTAAAAGTTATGGTATTTTAAAATATCACTGGGTCATGGGAGTCTATCACATACCCTAAAATTTTTATATATTTCAACTTAAATACATTTTTAAACTTCACAGACTTTTTTTCCAACAAAATTACGAGAATGCCTTTTGAAATGCCTGTATACTAACAGGCAAGGTCATTAAGTTAATTTCAATTGAAAATATGTGCAAAAAGAAAGTAAACAAAGTAATAATTATATAATTAAAGAATCATGTTCAATGTGGACTGTTTGTCAGAATTATGGATGCAATGTTTTAGTTCACGATTTCCATTGCTTATAAGATACAGTACAACTCCACTTTTACATTCCCAGCATTTATGTTTTCCCACAGTTTATTTGGTCCCTTCAATTTTATAGCGTTCATAATGTTAAATTATCCCCGCTTTTACACTTTCAAAATTAAATTTTTCCTGCCATTTGCACTTTTTGAAGCCATCACAGACCTGTGAACACCATTTTTGGCATGATATTTTTGTTATCTCTCGCAATGTTCTCTCTTGCAAAGAGATTTATCTCATCGGCTTCTAACTCCAGTCTTGTTTGGAGTTCATTCATGGTGGAAAGAGGTCTCTTTTCACTCGTTCATTCGCTCTGGTACATTTATAGTGTAGTGTGCTCCTCATTATAGCGTCAGATGAGTATTGAAGCTAACATATTGGGTATTGTAGTTTTGTGCCTTTTAAGAAACTTTTAATTTTAAGTTCTTAATTTTGCCCTTTAATGGATTTAAAAAGAAAATCCAAAACTATGGAGGAAGTTGAAGTTCATAAATGAACACGGGTTGCGTTAGCTCTAAAGTTGGGAATATCAGTATCCACTCTGAACACAATAGTCGGAAACAAGGACTCAATTATGAAAAGTGTAAATGAAAGTGGACATTTTTGCAAGAAGAAGCATGCCAGCTATTCAAAGTATGTAGAACTGGAGGATATCCTGAAGAACTGGTTCCAGACAGCACATGCTTCCAACATCCCTGTGAGTGGCGTGCTGTTACATAAAAAAGCCCTGAATGTGGCGGAAAAGCTTTCCATTGAGAACTTCTCCATGTCTAATGGCTGGCTTGACTGATTCATACAGCGGTACAATATTGTTTATAAGAACGTGTGTGGGGAAAGAAATGACATGTCTGAAGAAAGTGTTCAGGAATGGCAAGAGGGGAAACTGATGAACCTTGTGAAGGAGTATTTACCCAAGGACATTTTCAACATCGATGAAACTGGAATATTTTTTATTTTTTTGTATTCTTCCGAACAAAATGTTTATGTTTAAAGGCAAGAGTTGCCATGGAGGCATAAACAGTAAACTTAGGCTTACTGTAATGTTGGAAGCAAATGCTGATGGCTCTGAAAAGCTTTCCCCATTTGTTATAGGAAAGTCCAAAAACCTTGATGCTTCAAGAATGTGAAAACATTGCCCACAAAATACAAGGCCAATAAAAAGACTTGGATAACTTCCGACCTTTTTGAGAAACAAATGTATGCTCTTGATGTGAAGATGGGGAGCACAGAACAGAAGAATTTTTTTATTTGTTGATCAGTGCTCCACACATCCAAAGAAAAGAACTTAAGATCTATTAGAATTGAATTCTTGCCAGCAAACTGCAGAAGCAAGTTACAGCCAATGGATTTGGGAATAATCCATGTTCTTAAGACCTTGTGCAGAGATTAGGTTGGATGGAGTCAGGGAAGGACACAATGACTTTCAAAATATCTATCCTCAATGCACTGCATTACATTGCAAAGACATGGAAGGACGTGAGTGAATCCACCATATTCAACAGTTTCTGAAAAGGTGGCTTCTTCCAAACGCAAGAGGAAGAAGTAAGAAGAAGACAGTGATATTATTTCTGCATGGGAGGAATTGAAAATAGGTTATGAAGTTAGAGACTTCTTCCATTTTGATAATGAATTTGCAATTGAATAAACAATATTGGTAGAAAGTTTGATCAATTCAGTTCAAGAAGAAAATGACAGTGATAGTGATTTTGATGATGATGCAGATATTCCACTAAAATGATGACAATATTGGTGATAGTACTGTGCCTAATTGTGCAAACGTAGTTTCTGCAATAAACACCATAAAAAGTATATTTATGCAGCAGATGGTGTCGTCAATAGTTTTGACCATGTGTATGAACTTGAAAAGCAAGTTGAAAGAATTAACCAGAAGGCAAAACATTCATCTGCATTAGATTTTTTAACAAAATATTAGAATATTTGTATTTTGATGTAATATATATTATTTAATGTCTAAATATTTAATAAAAGTAGATTGTAAATTTTCAGTATTTTATTACATGTGCAAAAGCGTTTTCCCATGTTTACACTTTCTCACAATTTACACCATTTGTTTGTGGTCCCTTGAAAAATGTAAAAGAGGGGTTCTACTGTAACATGTTCTACTGTATTCATTCTTACCTTGTGCAGATATTCCACTGAAAACGCTTTCACTATAAGCATGGTTCAAAACAGTGCTGCCTCCTATTTGGCGGCCACGGTACCATCTTTGAATCAGGAACTTCATTCGATGAATAGCCACAATGACAAAGGCAGCTGATCTATAATAGAAATAAAATAATGTCATAAAAACATTATGAACTCCTGAAATTCAAACTCTTAACAATAGCATAGTATAATTTTTATGTACACATGTACTATCATCCAGGGCCAGGAAATTTTTCAAAGTTTTTAAAGGTCACTGTGTTTTGTAATTTATCCTATTACCTGAAACTTTTAAATATTTCAACTTAAATATTTTTTTAAAAAACACTGACATTTTTTCCCCAAAAAACTTCTGAATATGATTTCTTAAATGCCTACACACTAACAGGCATGGTCTAAAGGTTAACATCTATTGAAAATCTGTTGTATTTTGGGGAATATATTTATATACTAAGAATAAAATCTTCTTCTGTACTAATTGAGCGAACAGTACTGGGCCACTTACAATGGATCCTTAGGGAACGGGTCATTTCTTACCGGAAGCGAGCCTGTCTCCTTCTGCCACTACTCTGTTCCGATATGCGATGAGGTATCGTTGCCCCAACATGTGCAAGCCTGCTCAGAGTGTAGGCCTCTGTCTGCTGGTAGCCTCCCAGTGCTATCAACAAATACTTTTTCTGCCAGGCAAGAGCCTTTCGATAGCTTTCTGCACGCAGGTACCGTCCAAACAGATGATTCACCTGTTGAAAAAGGATGGTTTGCTTAAGTAAGAAATCATAAAAACATTCTCAAGAACCAACTTCTCACATTGTTGTATCATAGCAAAAATCGTACTAATTCCTAGAAAGTATGCAGCCCAGTATTTAAAACAAAATTTCTGCCACTGAAAATAAATATCAAGAAAGCAATGAAGTTTAGATTTAGAGTCATTTACACACTAAATTTCTAAGAAGCAAATAAATATGAGTACAACTTCTTCATTCTTTAAAAATAATTCAATCCCCCCACCCCCTCTTTGATCTGAGATATCAACTTTTCACACCAGACCAAAGTGTGTGGTCAAGGATTCTTACTCTGTTTTCGAGCTCCTCAGTGTCTGCTGTTTCACCGTGCCTGCGACACAGCTCCTCTTTTGCCCGAGCCAACTCCAGCCGCAGGGCAATGCATTCTTCCATCACAGAGGCCTTCTCAGCTGTTAGGCGGCTCACTGTGGCACGAGCTTTTCCCTCACTTGTCTGCAAACACATATACACAACTCTAATTAAAGAAACTTAAAATTGTCTTCACTGCCCATTAGGTTACACAGATTTTCACCTAACCACTGCTTCTGAAACCCATTTGGGGGAGAGAGAAAGAAGAAAAAAAACTAGTCCTTCCAAAAAATATAGTCCTTTCCTAGCATGATTATAATTACGGTTTCTGAATTTCACATATGAAAAAATTCTAGCTGGGGATCTCTACCTACTATCTACAGCAAAATTAATTGAATATTTTTTTCCTGATATACATATAAAAAATGTTTTGTTGAAATCAAAGGTAAGATAAATTAAGAATATTTCTCCTCTTGCACTTTAAATAAAATACCATTTATAAATTTGCAGACTTTTTTAAAGGTTTTCATTTCATTCCATTTTTTTAGATATATAAAAATAAAGTATTCACTTTTCTCCAACTTCAGAAAGAAATAAACAAAAAAATGGTTATAACTGGTGCATTTTTTAACACATTCACTGACAATAGCATTCTCGCTATACCACACCATGGTAACACAGCACCCTTTTTTACACTACCTCTCAGTGCACATGTTAGTTGATGCTCTCTTGAACAAAGTATCTGTGCTAGTTAAATGTCATTATCTGTAGGACCTCACACAGCAGCCTATAAGTTAAAGGACTCTCAAGAAAGCAACTAGAGGTGCAACATAATGGCTCAGGCTTTCTACTGCCAGTTAGTATTCATTCTCTTTCTTGTGTAATAGACTACTAGTGCCTCTTGGGGTACCTACTGCTCCTTTTGGAGGTTGTTAAGAGCCCATTTTCACACCCCATAGACATACCTCGATCCCATACCTTTATACACTTGCCCATGATATTCCTTGGCTGCACCTCGGAGTTTTACCATTGATCTGGTTCAAGATTTGGAATGACTCCTATGCCTCAAACACAACTGAACACATTCATGTCTTACAGGGAGAGACACGATAGAGGCAGCAGAGGCAGACGTAGATGGAGAGAGAGAAAGGATGGGAGACAGAGAAAGAGAGAGAGAGAGAGAGAGAGAGAGAGAGAGAGAGAGAGAGAGAGAGAGAGAGAGACAGACAGACAGACACAGAGAGAGAGATAGACAGACAGAGAGAGACAGTCAGAGAGAGACAGAGACAGACAGTCAGAGAGAGACAGAGAGGGAGAGAGAGATAGACATAGAGACAGCGAAAGAGGCAGACAGAGAGAGACAAACAAACAGAGAGGCACAAGGAGAGAAAGATAGAGAGTGACACAGAGACCTTTTCTTTTTCACAAGGATTGAATAAGAGAAGAAGAAGAAGAAGGGGAAGAAAAATAAAAACAAAGTGAGAGAGAGAAAAAATTGTATCTATGTAAAATCAAAACACAAGCTCAAAGTGGATTTTAAGTTATGTTATTCACTGCATTTAGCACTATCTGTACAAAAAGTTGAAAAGAAAAAATTTGGAGCCAGTTTTGAGAAAGTGTTTTTAATATTGCCTGCAGTTTATTCGAAATTGGGCTATAACTAACAATATTTTCAGAAAAATGTATACAACATTAATTAAAGAATTAGTGTGGACAGCCAATATCAATTGAAAAAGGAATCACTGTCTTCAATATTGTAGCTGTAGCAAGACACTGAAAAGATTTCCAACTGAAGTAATTTTCAGAAATTGAGAGTTAACAGTGAAATTTGGATCAATGCCATCTCTGTAAGTATATTTCACATTATTCTTACAAGAAATTTAAAGAGAAAATTCGGAGCCATTTTTCGGCTGGGCTCCCATGGCCTTCATTTATAGTACCTCTATAATTTAAAGAAATAATTTCAAAATCGCATAACTTCAAGTCAGACCAGACCAACTGGGAATATACATTTTGGAAAAAATCCTATTAACAGTTGCTAGTGTTGTTCGTAGGCAGGCAGACACACAGATCAATGCACATTTTGAAACAAAAGAAAACAAAAACCTTTTCCTTTATCAGAGGTATCCAAAACACGTATTTTCATTCAAAATCTCAACATCCATTTTCTGCAGTGTTACATAACTTGCTCTATTCTGTATAGATTCCTCTGTATATACATAAGTATACGAGAAAGTAAAAGCAGTAGCATATACCTGGAGCTGGGTGACCTGTTCTGCGAGGGCATTTGTTTTTCGCTGCAGTTCTCTTCTCTCTTCCACCAAACGAGCAAGCGTGAGAGCAACTTTGCTATGATCTCTCATTTGCTGATCCAGTGAGGCATTCATATCCTGTAAACACATTTTAAAACATATTAATTTCACTCACTTCAAGGCCATTTATTTGAGACTGTCTTAACAGGTCAATCAAAAATATTGGTCTGGTTTGCCTACAACATCTCTGATGAATGCCAAGAACAAATTTACAAATATAGTTAAGTATAATACATAGTGGTTCAAAAAGGCAAAAAAAAAAAATGTTCTGCACATGATTGTAGTCATCAGAAGGTTTCAACAGCTATTGACAACTGTGCTTGTTTATCTGTCTTACTATTTTCAATATAAGGCATTGTAATAAGCAGAAATTATGAAACTTTCCTGTGAATTTCATAACAAAACAAAGTAATGTATTTTCCAGATGTTTCACTTCACCTGGCTTCACCATCCATTTCTTTATAAGTATAGTGTTCAATGAGAGATGCATTGTAAAATGATGTGAAAATATGTGTTATTTTTTGGCAATCTGCACCACAGGCAACCACGATAAAATGCTCACAATACCTCACTTTCCCTTGCCTCCTCCCCCTTACTTCTTGTATTTGCAGCGAACTCACTCTCACATGTGACATTGAATGATGCATTCCGCAAAAGAAATTATTTTTTCGGGTGTAGTTTTCTCTCGAAAAATTGATCAATTAGAAGCCATATTGACCATTACAGACCTCTTAAAACAACCCTACAGATACACACGGTTTATAACTGCATTTGCAACTAATTGTTAAATCAGCCAAAATTCTCAAAATAAAAAGGGCAATTTGAAAACACTGACCCTAAAAAAGTAGACTTAACCAGTTAATGTAAACCAACCCTGAGTATTTAAAATGAACTACTAAGGAAACAATCTCATCTCATACTCAGGCAAATGGGTTATTCATTTCATAATGACAACCTTCAATCTCTGGGCAACAGGTTCTTCAACAGGTGATTCAGGTGGGCTTCGTATTCGTACAGATGCTGCTGCTGCAGTTGCTGTTGCTGCTGAAGCTGCCGCCACATCTGCTTCTCTGCGTAATGCCTCCAAATCCCTTTGCAGCTGCGCAGACTCTGCCACTGCATCTTCTCTCACTGCTCGCTCAGCTGCAAGCTCTGCCTCCAAACGTGCAACATTCGTCTGTAAAAAAAAAAAAAAAAGTTTTTTTTTTTTTTAAATTTGATCAGTAATTAAAAAATCTGCCTTTCTTCTCATTAAAAGCATTTATGAAAGATGTATAATATAATTCAGAAAGAACACTGCACAGTGCATTGATGTCTTTGCTGAAACGCAAGTCATCATGCCTGCACTTCAACTTTACCACTGAAACATGTACCTTGTTAGTTATGAATGAATTTTTTAATTTAATTGTGTCTTTTTAATTTCGCAAGCAATGATTTAATTTACAATTTTAGTAATAGTATATTGAAGAGTTAACAAAAGTATTAATAAAAGCAAAATTTATCAGGAAAATGTAGAGTAATGCAAATTTTGCACATAGAAATATTTTTTTTTCAAAAATTTTGGTATTTTCTGTTATACGATAATCTACACATGGACCACAACAATTCTTGCAAGCATTTGTTTTCATTAATGGTATTTCAAGAATATGCTACTAGTAAACTTTTAATGCCTAGATGGAATTTTTCATAATATCTGCAATGAAAGCTCCAACATCTGTTATTTGAAATTAGTTAGGAATTATCATAGTTTTTACTAGAAGTTTGTGAATTCTTCTTCTTTGAGAACATTAAACCAAGAGTTTTAATTAAAGTCATACATTGTATTTTCCACTTTTGTATTACTTGGCCTTATACATTTTGTATCGATAAATTAAAAGAGCTCCCACGTAGAGCGCCCATAAAGAAACATAATATCAAAATGAAAGCAACTTTGGAGGAATACAAATATTTTCTAAATTTTTTATTTTATGACATGACACACTTTCTCAAAATCGTTCTCTAAAGTCAAAGTTTTATGAAGGCAATAAGATCTCTTTAAAACAGCTAGCACTGATTTGTTAGTGATCAACATTTAAAATTCACAATTAGTGTTCCACAATTGTGTACTGCGAACACAATTAAAATTAAATAATTAAAGCAATCTGGCATCCAGTGAGGAAATGGAATTCAAAACAAGACACCAATTTACAACAAACCTACAAGAATAATAACAAAAATGTGGAATAAATACCAAGATGAGAGAAAATATGAAAGAAGACAAACACTGAAAGAGTAACAAATGAAAAGAGAGCTGAAGGAAGAATCAAATAAAAATAACAGCGTAGAAAGAAGATGGAGAGATCTTGAAATAATTGCCAGACTCGCCTCCAACTGGCGCGCTCGTTCCTGAGCCAGGGTGCGCTCGGCGGAAGCCCGGCTCTGCTGCCGCAGTTCTGCTTCCTCAAGAGCACGCAGGCGTCGGTTTAGCCGATCATGCTCAGCTTGTTGCGCTGCCAGATTGGCTCGCACCTCAGTCAGCTGTTACAAAGATCCCCATCAGATTAGGACACACCTATTTGCCTTGCTGAAAGACTCGAACACAATTCTCTCATGGCAACTGTACACAAAATGTTTTCACAAACCAAACTCAAATCCACACTTCCTTGTCATCTAAGTCTATTTCTCAATGATAATTAATAATTTATAAGTCTCAGTTCACATTTTTGCTACTGCACCAGAACTAGTAGATGATGTTGAAAGACAATCTCACACTCATGGCCGGTAGTAAAATATGATTTTTAGGCACAAAAAAATATATTTTAAAGGTTAAGAAGAATCATTCATTTCACACATTATTAAGTATTCCACAAACGTTTTAGCAGCAATTACAATGTGTGTTAGTACAGGGCTGAACCTAATTACATTCATCAACTATAGCCAAGTGCTTCAAAACAATATTCAATATTTCTTCTACATGCTGTGTCTGATCCTATTGCACATATGTCTTCAATCATCACAAACGAAAAACCTGACTTTCAGCCTTCAATTACAGGTTTGCAGAGCTGGAATGCTACTTCAAAATAAATTATGTACTGATTAGTTTTCAACCATATTAAATGCAAAATTTCAAGAGTGTATATCCTTAAAAATAAATCAAATCACAGATGAAAAGTTAACAATTAATATCAGGTATTTGCAAAGAGCATGGTGCAGAACATTTAAGTCGCATATGATCCTTAGAGGATTCACCAAATCGCTGGGGAATTTCAACACAAAAACACATGTTAAATTACCATTTCAAAATTAAATAATAGATTCCTTCAACTATGAATTACAAAATTCCCAATGAATTGGAGATTTCAGCTTACATATCCATTTATTAACTAAAATGCGAATAAATAATAAAATTAAAAAACACACCATAAGTGTCAACCTAACATCCGCATCTTTTGCAACAAAATCATGAGCCTACTTCCGAAATATAAAGAAAAGAAAGACAAAATATTCTGTAAACACATTTATAATGCAATTTTGATTACTGTTTCTGCCTATTACAACAATGAGTATCACCATTCACCTGGGTGTCTAAGGCATCATTATGACCTCTAACCAAATTCAGCTCTGCTCTCAACTGTTGAGACGTCTCTTGTTCTCTGTTCAGTCTTCTGCGCAGCCCTCTCGTTTCTTCTTGCGCGTCTGATAATCTCCTCTGCAGCTCTGCCAATGCTTCTGCAGATGCCTGGAAAGGAGCAGAAGAAAGGTTACGAGGCTGCTCCTCTACCTCTCCCCCTGAGCATCAGAAGGAGGCAATGCCACACTCTTCTCGCACTCTGCCTTCCTCCTTTGCACAAACATCATCCAAGTACACAGAGCTGAAGGAAGATATTTGAGAGCTGAATAAGGCATGGGAGGGCTTGAGTCTCAGGCAACACTGACTTTCTGCAACGTGGCTGTGACAGGGGTGGATTCTCATAGCACTATGCATCCCATTCGCACTGTCACTCCATTCTTAATAAATTGCCTCTAATGTTAATCTCTACAATCATCCCTATGGTGAAAGGCAATAGAAAGCCAGAACCTCGCTTGTTTGTCTAGGAAAGTTTAAGACATTAAGTCAGAAATAAGAAGGGACTCAAGTACATTACTGGACTCTCTATACAATTAAACTTTACGTAAGGCATATATTACTAAGCAGTAAATAAAACGTGACACAAAGAAATTTAAATTATAACTTAAATATTAATACAATTGATTTTTATTTTAATTGTAATTGAATTGATTTGAACCATTTACAGGGTTGCCAAACAGCTTCATGAGTCTGCCAATTGTTGTTTAACAATGCTCCAAATTATCAGGTTAAAAAGGGGAAAAATCATTAATTGAACATATTTATGGGAATAAACTTATTTATTATGAATGCTATGGGGCCCCTTTCAAAATTCCCCCTGCCCCCTGTGTGCACGCCTTCGCATTGAGAGTGAGCTTCCTCCTTTGCCTCCATTCAGAACCTGGACGGCAGACACCTGTGCTCTGTAAATCATACATTCAAAGATGTATAGCGACAAAGCAAACCAGGCATGCATGGTGTGCAAGATCAGGGCGCATGGAACACACAAGGTGGGCAGATAGTAAATTATTCCTAAGGCAATGATTGGTAATCAAAAGTAGAAATAAATTGTAAGCAAACAAGCAACAGATAGGATGTTCCAATTCATGTCTGTACAGAAGGAACAATAGTGGCTAAAAGATTAACATTTTGGATAAGTAAAAAGATAATCTTCCACAATAAAACTGTATTTACTCTAAATACAGATCTTACATTCCTACATACATGTTTTGAGGCTTCAACCTTGTTATCACTGCTGTGCAAGCAACATGGTACAAAGCATGGCTTTTAACTGTGTACTCTAGCCTGTGCTGGATTGTACTCCGGCAGGGCCAGAGCCTCATAACATGTATGGGAGAATGTAAGATCTGTATTTAACGTCAAAACATTTTTATTGTGGAAGATTACTTCTTTTTACTGATCCATACAGATTTCCAGATTTTCTTTTGCTCCTCTTCCAGATATGAGAAGAGTGTTCAAGAAGACTCTCGCAGCACGAGCAACAGACTCGAGCCACTCACCCACGCATCTGCTTGGAGTGCAGCTGGAGACTGGGCTGCTACGTTCAAAGCTGCTTCCAAGCTTGAAGGGGGCGATGACAGCTGCACTGGGGATAAAGGCAGGACAGGCGTTGATGCTCTGTGGCTGCCTTGCTGGAGCTTATCACCAGTTGTAGCTGCCATCTCACCCAGCCGTAATCTCAGAGTCTGAAACATTTTTCATAAGAGGGTAATTGTCAAATGCGTATTACACAAGACTTCACCTGTAAGACTTATATAAATTATAAGCTCTTTTAACTTTAATTATATATAATGACAAAATATTTATGACATTAATACCAAAATAACTAAATAAATAAATAGTGTTTTTTTAAACCTTGGGAAAACATTTGTACAGAGGATGATCAACAAACAGCTTGAACTGACAAAAAATTATTTTTCAAAAGTGTTCTTTGTCAGAACTTAGTCAAAACATGTATATCATTAACATGTATGTTCAGGTACTGTAAATAATGCACAAAAATCACAAGAAACCACACGGTTAGTATGATTTGTCAAATTGTATTTCACTGTCATTTATAAATAGTTTCAGGAATGAGACCCGTCCGCTCTATGCCCAAAAACCATGTACAGAATAGAAATTGAACTGACATAACTGATTTGTTAATGCTTCCACCTTCTCAAAAAAGACAAAAACGCAATACTTTTCACATGTAACTATGACCACATATCAAGAGTGCTAGGCTAAAAATGAAGTATAAGTCAAAAAATGAACAAAACATCAATCTGCAAGTTTTTGACAAATAAATGCATAGATTAAATATCCATAAAAGTATTTGGTTAATTGACCAGTTAACAAACAAATCAAGTAATTATTGTCTTTCAGTGAATAATTATCATTAATGGATCATCAAGTGCACAAATGTTCCAATGATCCCTGTATAATATTTTTACTGACAAAAGGCCATATTCACACTGAGATTAAACAAAGAGAACCTTTTTATTCATACCTGCAGTAGTTCTGCATCTCTACGTTGCGCTGCTTGGAACCGTTGGCGTTCAGTAAGAACCGCACTTTTGAGCTGGCGAATGATTGCCCGCTCCTGCTGCAGCTGCTGCTCCAGGGATTGAGCTCTCGCCCTCTCCTGTTCAGCCTCTCGGCTTCAAACAATACACATTTCTATACAATTATCACCACCCTGCCACCTTTCTTGGATGCAACTACCCTCGGAAATATGTTCCACAACAAAACAGAAATCCAAGTTGTGACAATGTCGCTAAGTAAGAAATGTATTTTAATAATTAAATTTGTTTAGGGTGACAATTATTTGAACAAATTTATTTATAAAGACACATTTCTAACAAAATTATCGCATATGACGGCATAATATAAACACGAAGAGATTTGTAAAAGTATGGAAGAATCACAATAAAAAGACCTATTTTTTAAATGAAGAAAGCAATTCAGCATGTGTGCCATCAATTCACTACTTCTACTATTTCATAAAATATAAGAAAAGTTACGCAGCAAAATATCTCACTACCTGGCTTGATGCAAACGCGTTTCGTCCACTGCCAGGCCTGCTCGCACGGCATGTGACGCTAGCTGGCTCTGCAAGTCCAGGGCATGCCGCTGCTCCTTGCGCAGAGCACGTTGCAGCTCACTCACACGCTCCTGCTCGGCCAGAATGGTTGTAGCCAGCTCATGCTCTGTTCAAACAAATTTTTTAGTCACCAACAAACACCAATGAACTTTCAATAATTCCTATGAATAAAGTAAACACATGAAATAGGTAGCAATTTCTTCAATCTTGGTAAAATAGTTACCTTAATATTAGATAATGAGGAAAACCATTAATTAGTCAAATTAATATAGGAATTGCCGAGTGGCATAATTCAGTGGTCACGGAGTAAAGGATCTTAAGTCAGAAATCTTAGTTTGAAGAAAACAAGGGTTAGATTATTGAGCCGCTATTGATGAGAGGTATGAATCTATATTTCGCAACACTTTTTTTTAAGGAGGGAACATTTAAATTTGATTGTTTTACTAAAATAAAATATAGAAACTTAACTTGTAGTTTCAGTACTTAACCCAATTTCACCAAAAATTGACTTATGAACTTTTACCCCATAACCACAGAATTGAATTCCTTTAGTACAGAACTATTTCTCACAATATTAACGTTATCTTCCGTTTCAAAAATGTTAAATAGTTAAGGCATTTAATACATAATATAAAAACCTTAAAAATAGGAATTGCATTATGAAACAACAATCACTGGATTGTAAAATTGGAATATTTACAACCTTACACACATTAACACAACTTTACTTACATAAAGGAGTCTAAAAAATGCAAAACAGCAAATCAAAAAAACGCAAAACGACAAATCAAAACAGCAACGAATGTTTGAATCAGGAGAAACAGGCACAGGCACAGAGAGAAATAGGTCAATGATGACAAAAATAAGATGTGAAAGATTTTCTAAGAACACATATCTTACACTAAACCATGTTGCTGGTTTTTTGTTGTTTCTTCTTTTTTCCTTCCAAAATTGATCAACAATGAAAAACATAATTGAAAAGCAAGAACGCTTGCAAAAATGGGCAAATATAGAAAGGTCAAAAGGAATGACTAAGTTGCATCCATGTTCATTATATGACAGGCAGAATTACAGAGATATGTAAATAAATTGAATTGCAGAAAACATTTAATTGTAATTGGTAACACCTTCTGAAAAACACTGCCACTAGAAAGTGAAATATAGGCACAAATTTCACAAAATTTACTTTAAGTGCAACATTTGCTCAAAGTTGACAATATTTAAGCAATACAATTTATTTTAAGTTAAGAACAGAAGGCATCCACCCAACACAAAACCTTATTTGGACCTACTTACAAAAAAACACAACAAAAACTGTATTCCATGCAGCCCTGTTGTTTGACGATTCGACACTTACCCCTTTGATTGTGCGCCTGAGCAGCAGCCTGCATTTGCTGGAGTTGCTGATGCAGTTGCTGGTGTAGTCGTTGCAATTCTTGCTGCATGTGCAGAGTCTGTTCACTGATATGCACCAGTTGGGGAGGAGCAGTAAGAGAAGGAATGGGAGCAGCTTGTACCAACTGAATGGTGTGCCTTGTATGTGGTTGGTTGTCTGCAATCTGGTATAACTCATGCTGCAGACTATGCATAGCCTGCAATGAAATTTATCTTTGTATTTGTTCTGCATTTCAGAGCATCAGATCAATTACATTTCTCTTTCACACCAACAATAAACATTCTAAATACAACTAATGAAAATCGGTACAGTGAATTGATATCAGCCCCATAAATTTCATCATAATTAAAAAATCATTGAATGAAAAATTCAACTTAATTAAAAATTCTTGAAATCCTGGTTGCACCCAAACTATGTATTATCTAATTGTTAGTCATAAACAGAAAAAATCAATACTAATAAACAATAAAAATTTAATTGGCAAGGGAAAGTTTGAGAGACTCACATTCCAATTTTTCTTTGGATACGCAGTTTCACACATCATTAAAGAAATTATTAATAAATTTAGAAGTGTTACAAAGTAATAAAGTATGTATTCAAATTATGCAAAGGGCAAAAAAAAAAAAGGGCAGAAATGTAAAGCCTACTGACATTGTCCCTGGTTGCAGCTTCACCATCAAATCCACAATGTGCTGCCAAACCCTTTTCCTCCACAGTGGTGATGTGGTCCCGGAGAGACGAGTCCAACTGGGCTGATTCTTGCAATTCCTTCTCCACCTGCCCTGCCAGCTCCTCAATACCTGCAATGGAAGCACTTGCTTCACTCCACCACCCTCGCCATAAGATCCAGGGCCAAAGCTGGAGGGTGCTACGATAAGAGGCGCTAATGCCGCAGGCTAGGCTCGCCAATTCAAATTGGCTAATTTGTGAGAAATAGCATGTGTCATCTAAATGAACAATTATTCATAATACATACATATAAGAATCTTCTAAAGAAAGTGAGAACATCAACGCTATCTTTTGTAACATTTACAGGCCTGTTGGAATCTCGTGTTCCCACACAGTGGCCACGCACGTTTTTTAATATGTTTGGCAGCAGTTCGTATTTTAGTTACTGTAGGAAGGTGCTGCAGGAGAGCACAACACTGTAATGGATTCCACCACATTATATAGAAGCTGAAAGGTTCTGGCTACCTTTTCCTAGCAGCAAATTGACCTGTAAAAAGGCTACACAATTTATCCAAGTTTCAGTCATGTCAAAAGCCAAGTCAAAAGTCAAGTGCAGTAGCAATTTCATTCTCACTGAAACTGGTTTCTAAAACATTTCAGTGAATGTTTTAATGCATTCGACATAGGATAAGCTGCTATAGAAGGAACAAGGAGAAAGTGATTAAATAAATATATATGGTGAAGCTAGTAATGGCAGCACTGTAATGAGATCCATAAGCAAATGAAATTCATGATCAAATCAACATCTCTGGATCAGTTTTATATTTTCATATACATTTCTTGAATTTTAATTTTCTTGAATTTTAAGTTTCCTTTTTCTTCCTCAAATTTCGTAACATGGCTTCTACCCTGGCCAATTTTTCTTCTTTTTTTCTTTAGAGGAAATTTTACTTTAAATGTTTTCAATGGCCTCCAAAACATATTATTTCTTCCTATATCATTGCCGCATTGTAACATACATTTAAATTCAGTAACATGTTGACAATACTAATAACACGTTTCAGTCAAAACTGAGATGAGAATTGATGATACTTAATTTTCTTCTATTTTACATTTCACCTGTACTTGAGCATTGTTATAATTCACTTCTCATTTCTATTTTCATTCCAATTAACTTCACAATTGAGATCAAACATATCATATTCAATGAAACTCCAGATTTCACAGACACTGTTTTGAAACATCTTTCTCAATCTGTAGATACAAAATAGGAAATGTTTTGAAACTAAATGGTGAAATGGATAACATATGATTAAAAGATGAAAATTGTAGGAGAAATTACACTAGAAGGATGTCATTACCATTTAGTCACAATTATTTCCAAGTCGCAACTAGATTGAATATTAGCTCATTACGCTCCCATAGGGATTATTTTGATGTACTTTTTCTGTATAATTTGATAAATCATGATATAGACTCTTCAGAATTACATTGTAAATTTCCTTGGGCTAATCCAGTGCGTGATCTGCGTTCTACAAACAGCATGTTATTTAATATTCCTTTTGCGAGATCAACCTTGTACTATTATGCGCCATTATGGAAAATGTGAAGAAGTGCCAACTGTAACTGCATTAACTTATTTTGTTCACCTTATCAATTTAAAAAAACTTATAAAAACCTGTTACTAAATGATTTTCAATAATACTGTAATGTAAATGATATTTAATAATTGGGCGATTGCCTGTAATTATATGTATATAAATAAATAAATAAATTACATTGTCATGTCCAAAGATTACTCGTAATGCACAAAGATGCATAAGACTACTATGGATCTTTAAACTAGGGCTGCTGGCACCTCACTTTGGTGATGGAATGGATTGTAAAATTTCATTTAGTGATCCATCAATTCATGCTAAAATGGAGTTTTCTATTGCATCAGTATGGAGTGGAATTTTCTCAAGAACAATCAGTTGAATCTGTTTCATGAGGGCTCCAATTTTCCTATGGGTGAAGTGCACTGGGGCAGTTGGGCAGAACTTGTTGACAGAGAAACCTGTATAGTTGATTCACCTGACAATTATCTCAAATTTTCACAGCCATTTGACATTGCATTATAATGCAAAACATTTAATTAAACTAAATAAATTTTGACCATCAACATTGCTATCTTTTTCATCTCATTCTCAACTTGCATAGTTAGTCTATTGTACAGGTAATTCTACTGCTTTGGGTGTATAATTCTATCAAATACTTACCACGAACAACAGAATTGTGTATATTGTGCAACCTTTTGAATTTTTTTTCCATAGCATGTTAAAATAAACACAATGTACAAATAGCAGGAGATTTTCTTGATCTTCAAGTCAGAGCTTAAGAATCAATGGATAAGAAATGTTCAGAATATTCATGAATCTTATATGTGCTGACATCTTGTTGAAATATACTTTTATATATTAAAAACTTGTAACTTATTTTCATAAAAATTAGCCAGGGCAATACAAAAGTTGGTAAATTATTTATTTTAAGTATTTTCAAGCAACAAGCAAACGTCATACTTATTACGAGAAAGAAAAGAAAAGTGGACCAAAATTATTATTTATTGATAAATAAGCATTTTAAATATCAGTGACAAATTCACAACTTATAAACATTAAATTTTGGAAAATGTTAAATAAAGCAGAATGTTTTAATGCATACAAACAATAACTTAAAACATATTTCTTCAATTTTAAAGCACGCACGTTAATATATTTATATTCTTTAAAACGCAATGGTGCTTTATAAAATCTTAATTTCTTAAGATTCGCTTCACAAGAACAAAATACCAAAATGTGTGCCAATAATTAATCACGTGATAATGCAAAAATCATTGCTAATCATCATCACTGCCAATCAATTTTTGGCGGAGCACGGCAATCTGCTCTCTCAGTTCGTTATTGGCTTGCAGCAGGTCCTCCAGCTCTTCCTCCCCCAGTTCTTTCTCGTGATGAAGCTCTGTAAGTTCTTTATACAACTGCTGCAGAGCTGCAGAGAGTCTGTCGCGCTCTCGTCGCAATACCGCCACTTCCTCACACTCGTCAATATCTGCCATTGCGCCCGCAGCGCGACTCGGCCCAGCAGAGCCCGTGATGAGCGGCTGCCCACTCACGTGTTCGTCCAGCCGCACGTTGTCCTCGCGCAGCTGCTTTATCATGTCCTCAAGGTCCTCTATGGATTCGTCTAGGACTTTGTTTTGTTTTGGGCTTTTGCGCAAAGCCTGGATCTCATTCTTGAGGTTCCTAATCTCTTCCTCCATCATCTTCACAAGTACGGCATCGCAGGGCGTGCTCTGAGACTGGGCCTCGGGATCGACTTTTCCTCGATCCGAAGCAATCTTGCGTTCATGCTCCGTCAGAATGGACACAAGACTCTGGAGATGCTTTGATTCCTCCACGCCCCCAGTCTTTGCTGCCACTGCAGCATCGTACAGCACAGTCTTCGCCAAGCACTCGGCTGCTAACAGAATCTGTCACAAAAGTCTTTCATTATTGATGAGTATCACACAAATAGAGACGACAATGAACATTCTATAAATTTGTTGCCATGTGTAGATTGATGCAGTGCTTAAGGATCCTTGGATTCTGTTCATCATAATTTAGTTTTTTGAATATACTTTTAAATGAGTTAGCATACATTCTGCTCTGCCTTATTTTCAACTTATTAATTTCTTTTCAGTTATTCTTTCTATCTTTTTTGCTTCATTTTCGTATGATCTGATAGGTCATGGTCCAGTGGAATAACTTCTTACAGACTTTTCAGGTGCGAAGAACACTCATGTGTAAGAATAATTCAACAGGACCATTTCCAATATGAGGCCGGTATGCGACACTGATGTCAGTCATGAAAGTTTACATTGTTTTGAAAACTCTGCTGTTCAATGACAAACTTAATTATAGAAGATAATGAAAGGACCAAATATTTTCATTGCAGTAGCTTTTGATTTGTTAGCAGTCATCTAAAATTGTATTCCTTTTATTTTCTCGTGTTTCCTGTCTTACATTTAGCTGTGAAAGGTAATCACGAGATACTTTAGACAATTTACCACAATACAAGTTCTTTTAAATTAATGTACCACAATAACTTTATAATTGTATCGTAGAGAATATGTTGACAATGAGGCAAAATCTATAACTTTGGCATCCCCAGACTGCACATATTCGACATATTTTTTATACTGGAAACCATTTCTAATAACGTTTACAGTCAAAGAGGGATCATGTGTCTGCTAGACGCAAGCTGCCTCCCAAACAAGAGACACATTTGTAGCTTCATTATATGAAATTTCGCACCGTATATTCATTGGCTAACTGTGATCTTGGTGCCCATTACACATCTATAATTTTGATTGATTGATTGGTTGGTATTGGGGGCGCGTGAACTGCGACGAGCATTAGTCCCTTAAGTGTGGCAGTGGCGGTTATCATTGGATGGCGAGGCTAGCGTGGCTTTCCTCCGCCGGTTGGTTCAAGCTCGAAGCTGCCCAATGGTCGGGAGAGGCCCTGTGTGTGTGG